TTGTAATTTTACTAAGAATTTTTAAGTCGTTACTTTTACTTTGTTAAATACGGTATAAAACCTAAAAATTATACTTTTACTTAATTACTTTAAAATAGCACAAAGTATGCAGAATATTTTTTTGCAATTAGATTCAAAAATGTACAAAAAAGAACATAGTGTGGACCAGTTTACATAATAAAACTATATAATTTTCAAAAACTCATGTAAAACATACTGTACAAATATTATACTATACCATCTGATGAAGAAGGTATCATCAGCTACTGGTGTTATTCTAGCACTTTAAATACACATAGACAACTTCTTATTTTTTTAGCACAATTCTCTTTATTTCCTGTAAGACTGAGTTGCTGTGACAAACAAATTAAAATTACAACAGTAATTTAAAAAAAAGTAAAAGACCCCATGTTAATCTGTTAAAATCAAATCAAATAAAAAGAGCTTAGTTTTGTAAACAGTTGACATAGGGGTCACTATAATCACAGTTTGTGGCTCAGGTAAACATCCTCCTCCTCCAGTTTCTCCCAAAAGCACCTTTAAAGGGATAGTTTGGATATTCTGAAAAAGTTTTTTTTTAATACTTTTCCCAACTGATGCCGTTCAAAGAGGTTAGATATATTAATCTGGAAAACTTTTCAACAGAACCCCAATAAAAAGATTTAAACTACCACTTTAAGCATGCTGGCACAAGCTGAGGTTATCTGATTTTACATACCTGCAGGGTTTTCCTGTAAAACATTTTCAGGTGAATTTTTGTTCCCATAATTAAACATCATTACAGGCTCTAGCTTCATGACACTGTCTACTTCAAATCACAGATCAAAGCTTTATGAAACACGCTGCCGATGAGCAACTTCCCCCCATAGGTGGTCGCCACAGAGGAGCCCATGATCACATGACCATCGTCTGCGTACACCTGAGTGACCACGGGCTGATCGGAGTGGATGTTCTGGATGCGGATGACCTGTAGGCCCACAAAACACAATCATGAGAAATTAGAACTAAAGGAAAAACATACATTTTACTGTTCAAAAGCGGACTAACCTCTGATCCTGGTGGGTTTTTAGGGTCAAACAGGAAAAGCTTTCTTGCATTAGGGTGACATCCCATCCAAAGGTCGCCAGTTTCAGGGTCTACTTCAATATTGTCACAAAGGGAACCCACGGCTACCGCCTGGTGAGGAATCAGAAGCAGATATATTAAAGGGATACACAATTAGTTGTAACATTAGACTTTATTTGATAAACATATATTTTAACTGTAAAATAAAGACTGTAAAAATACTCTAGGATGTTTAGTTTTGTAAATTTTTAAATATATGTTTAACAGGGACTGAGTCTTTTTATTTACATGCAAAGCTGGGTAAATGATGACATGGATAGGTCCTCGATGCAAGGCTGCTAGCGAGCTATATCCACACTGAAGGTTAATCCTGGACAATATCTGATGATCAACTCTTAAATGAAACCAGAGAGTGTTGACAGAGAGGAGAAGTGTGGATGGAGGACAACAGAGCTGCTTTATGAAGGAAGAACCCCAGCTTAGCCTATTAGCTTTAGCGCCAACACTATATTGCCTTATATGTATTAGCTCRGTGCTAGCGTGACAAAGTTAAACTGAGGTCCTCCATCCATATTTTCGGTTACAGGCTGAATCATTTTTGCGTTCCCATCTCTGTCATGTGGATGGCGGACCTCAGTGACAAGAGGAGAATGTGTAGCTCTGAGCTAATACATATAAGGCAATATAGCGTCGGCGCTAGGGTGAAGGCTAACAGGCTAAGCTGAGG